CAATTGTAATAAACGGAATTGTAAGAGGCTGCCGTTGGTTTTTTGCAGACTCTCTATCCTTCATCAAAGCTTCAGACAATAGGTTTTAAATAGCAGTATACACCATCTAAAACAAGAGTTTGCAACAAGTTTAATTGGGAATACAAAAATCTCTCTCTTTGTCAAAGACAATATTGACATTTTCAAGTGAGCGAAGAATAAATGATTTATTTACTTTTTGCACACAGAAGAAAGTCAAGCCTCCTAAGAAAGGCTGTTGTTATGAAACTCACCCTCTCTCTGAAAAAAAAAAAAAAACCCAAGAATGCTTTATTTCTTATGTTTCAGCAAAATTTAGGGGTGTGTCTCTTCCCAGGCATTGCCATGTTGGTTTTGTCATCTGTGCTTATACTTGACGAGTCACCTCTGCCAGGAATGTTCTTTCCTTTTGTTTTAGTCCATTTGGGCTGCTACAACAAAATACCACAGACTGGGGTGCCTATGAACAGCAGAAATTCATTGCTCTTGGTTCTCGAGGCTGCAAGCATGAGATCAGGGTGCCAGCAGGGTCATATGATGGCCCTCTTCTGAGTCACAGACTTCTCTTTATATCCTTACATGGTGGAAGAGTTAGAAATCTCTGTGGAGTCTCTTTTCTAAGAACACTAACCCCATTCATGAGGGCTCCACCCTCATGACCTAATCATCTCCCAAAGGTGCCACCCCCTAATACCATCACCTCAGGGGTTAGGTTTCAACATATGAATTTAGGGGGACACATTAAGACCATAGCATGTTTACGTCCCTTTTTCATGGCATCTCCTTGCCTTAATTCTTGCGTTGATCCTCCTGAGACCATTCCCTGAAGCAAGTGCAGGCTTGCCCCCAAAATGAGTTATTAACTGAACTGATTTGGAGAGCTTTGCTGCCTCTATTTCCCTGCTTCGTGATGACCACTTGCCTGCCCCAACCCTGTGGTCAGATAGGTTTAGTTCTCCAATAAGCACAAGGATTACCATGGCTTCCTTATCACCATCAGTGGTAGCCCCTAAATGTGGCTGCATATCTTACTTAGAAGGAAATAAAATGGCTCAAGAGCCCTGTGAGGACCTGTGAAAGCTGTGTCCTGCTTAACTGGACCTCAGGCCTACCATCGTCTTATGCCTGCTGCCATCAACAGTTCTGCAAGCCCTCCAGTTTGGCCCCATCTTGCAGCCCTCACGCTTGGTCCCTCTGCTTGCCTGGCATGCTCTCTCACAAGATGTTCATGCGGCTTACTCCACATCCACATTCCTTCTTAAATGTCACTTCCTTAGAGTAGCTGTCCTTGGCCACCCAAATTAAGATAGTGCCACCCTCAAGCCTATCACTGCTTATTTCCCTATCCTCCTTTATGTTTTTTTCTGGCATTGACCAGTGACTAAATATGTATCTAATTACTTGTTTATCTTTCTATCCCATCAGAATATAAGCCCCAGGAAGACAGAGATGTATCTTATTTATAAATGTCTCCCTAGAGATTCTGATTCTGTAGGTCAACAGGGGAGGTCAGAAATCTGTTTTTAGTAGACAGCCCAGGTCACTTTGAAGCAACTAAGTAAAACAGCATTTGGGAGGCATAATTGACATCAAGCTTTTCCTAAGCCTGAGGTGGCGGTTGTTGTTGGAGGTTTATTTTGTTGTTGTTGATTTGTTTTGTTAGTTTTTAAAGAAAGAGAAACCTCTTTCCTTACCAAGTCCAGAAAGCCCATGACTCAATGCTGTGGGATATGCCAGGCATCATTCAAATAGTGATACTGATAACTGCAGAGGGACATGGAAAGCGAGAACTCCCTTGAGATGGTACAATCTCCCAATAACTGAGAAATGACTGTATATTGAAGAAAGTATATGCTTGTAATTTGCCAGAGCCCAGTATACGAAGTATTATCATGGTTACATTTTGCCTATTTTCAGCTCCTGCCACATAACATTTATGTGGACCATTCCCTACCTTTTTTCCCACTCTCAATGTCTATGTTATCATTACCAATTCCTCTTAAGTGGTTTGGTGGATTATATTGACATGCTTGAGGGAAGTGGGGTGGAATCTTCAATCATAATATCAGCTGCTTATGTTAGTTTTTTCTGAGTCAGAATAGCTCTGTCTGAGACTGTGTGTCCTGGATCTTAAGTGTCTCGGTACCGTTGGAACAACTCAGGGGCAGAAAGTTGCTGTGAGACTCACTGGCATCCAGGGACCATGTTGCCTAGAGTTGGATTCTGAGAGAACCAGGGTGAGCAGGCCTCTTCCTCTCAGTTTAGGATAAGCTTCACAGAAGAGCCTTCATGGGATTTTAAGTAAAAAGGGGAGGGATGGTCTGAAGAAGATAGTAAGATAAAAGAAGAAAAATAGTTCCAAATTTTATAAAAAGTTTCATTGTGTGTACAGTAAATGTAGGAGTGGAGACGGGGGAACTAAAGAGAGCAAAGAAACCCAAAGCAAACAGGGCAGTGAGCAGAGCGAGCAGAGATGGAAACC